AACCTGTGGTGCAGTTCCTTTTCCTGTTAGCAGGCAGCATATGCACTTCCTTATTTTGCAATCTACTGTATGCAATGTCATTATGTCCTTTAGTACAGTGTTTATTGAACTTTCTGAATCTGTGATTTCCTTTTGATTCACCTCTCTCCCTGTCATTGTCTTGAATTCTTCCCTTTTTTGATGATAGATTTTTGTAATTGCTGCCTGAAAAGTAACTTTTTCAGGGAGACTGGACTCACTGACAGCAAGCCAAGGTAGTTGGTAGATCAGTAGCTACCTTAGATACTTGCAGGATCTTCTCAGTCCCCAGCTGTCAAAACTGAGATACTCCTGACAAACTTTGAGTTTTTTAATGTTGTGAGTATCATTGTCCTTTGGCAACCCGTGGTTTGAGAAACAATTGTTTAGCAGAGGCAAAGTTCCCACTGAATGATGAATTCCCCAACAGCACAGTTTTAGAAAGTGACAGAAAGCAGGTTTGTTTAACCTGGATTTGGAGAAGGTCTGCTGATAGTGGCAGAGGATCTGCGTACAGCATAAAGTCTCTGTGATAACCTGAGTTACAGCTACCTTCTCTCATGTTTCTCTACAAACAAAATTATTCTTGGTAAGGGATATGGGCAATAGAAGAGGTTTTGATGTTTAAATGTAAGGAAAGAATGTAAGTATTTTTCCTTGTGTTGTATATCCATTGTTTTAGATCCTTCATCAGCCAGTCTTTAGTTTGAAGTTGCAAAAGACTATTGGAAATCTATGAAGTTGTGTTACCTTGGTTGTTTAAAATAGGGCCAGATAGCATTTATAACCCATGCATTGTAATAGTCACTGTGTCTCTGAGATAACCCTGTTGTGCAAACAGGAAGATGCTGTTCTATCACAATCCAAAGGAGGGGTTCCAACACTACTGGGACTCTCTGCATGGATCCCCATCCCCCGAGCTAACCTGGTTATTGCTGTGCTCATCTTGGTCTCTCCTATGTGAATGCCCCACTGAGTTAGGATCAGGGCACTGCTTAAAGATCAGGAAAAGGTAAAGACAGCTGAAGTCTGGTGTATTTGAGACTGAACTAGAGTGAAAGAGGTGAAAAGTCAGTGATCCTAGGCTGTGCTCTCTTCATCTGTCACAGACACTGTTTGACCTGTTCACATCTCTGTTCCTCTGTTTAACCTACCTGTCATGACAGTGACCCTCCACTTGCAAGGATTATGAATAATGTGACTATTAAATAGCACCATGTGTTATGCCTGGTGCCTTCCAAGACAAATACACAAGTAAGTATTTGTTATTAGTTGCTCTGCTCCTTGTTTTCAGAAAGAAAAAGGAGAGAGGAGCAGACTATCCTTGTGATAACCTCTTGGACTTCAGCAGAACCTGTCAGAAGAGGGCTGCAAACCATTAGGAACCCCAAGGAGAGACTGCAGAGCCCTTCAAAACAGCTGGCATGGCTAGGACAGGCACCTCATGGAGTATTCCCTTTTCAGGAGTTAGTATAACATTAAGTATCTTTGAAGTAACACCAACCCTCTTTCCATCTTCTTTCCTGTGTAGCTGTCTTCGGCGTCTCTACCACTTTCACAGTATTTCAAAGGTTTCATTGAAATACTTGCTGTGAGGCCTTAATATCCTTATTATTGGAAGACAAAAGATAAATGGCAATCATGCAGCTAAAATGACCTGTTTTTTCTAGTTTTAAAAACACAAAAATGTACAGCAAATATTTATATGAAATTCAGGTAAAATACAGGCCAGAATGCTCCAGAAGGAAATAACTTCTATGAGTGCACCAAGAACAGCATTTAAGAACAAGGCTAATTTATTAAGCCCATCCTTTCAAGCAACCATTTTGAAACAACCATTTCATTGTATTTCCTGTAATTATTTATTTAATTCCACCAATATTAATTGATAGATATTTACTGGTTCATGAGTGCTCACTTAAGCTTCATCCTATATTAAAGAAATTTATACAACTCAGGGGTTTTTGTCCTAAAAGCTAATACAAGGAAAGCTGGCAGTAGTAAAGTCTTTCTCCCAGGACATTGTTACTGGGGCAGATGCAGCTGGGTGAAAGCCCGATGTAAAATCTGTGTAATAGCTAACTCCCACCAAAACACTCTAGCAACAGCATGGTTGGACGTCAGGAAATTAGGGACAAACAAGTCTTAGATGTTGCTGTTAGGAGAGAGCGAATTTTGGCACTTAGAAGGAATACGGGTGGATACCCTGGGACGCAGATGTAGCTGATGTGAATGTGTGAAAGTCGGTGTTGTGATCGTGCTTTCCAGCAAACTAAGTTTTCTGTGACCCAGGTCATGGTGGTCTGGTTTTGTGTGGCACTGAGGCACCTCAAAGTGTGGTTGACCTAAATGAGTGAATAACCCCACTGAACATGGGGTATATTTGTACACCTGAAATTTAGTGTCTCACATTGAACTGGCCTTGGAAGCAAAAAGGATATCTTCTGGGAAAAGGAGAGGAAATGTTGTGGTTGAGAAGGAAGGCAAAGAAAAACTTTTTGAGAGATCGGTTAGTTACTCCTCTTCTGTGTAGTAATATCCAGGAAAAGAGAAAGCAGGAATGTGTGCTTCATTGTGCTGTGGAAGCTGCTCGTGTCCAAACGTGTAATTGTGACAATATAAGTCAAAAATACAGTGCCCAAATAACTGGGATAGAAAAGTGTGTAAATGTGAAGTAGATGGGCACATAATCACAATGAAATTTCATGCCTTTATTCACATTTCATATGGTGGAATAAACAGTAGTGTTAATAAAACTGTGATATAAGTATTCTCACAGGAGTTGCATATGTGAGCTTTTAGTGTTTGACTTTTGGCATGTAAACATGACAGTAATTCTGTAAGTGGCTAGTGACAATTTCTATGTGTGCTTGTGGGACACAAAATTTCTGTGAAAGAAGTTGAAAAGCAATTTTTGCAAGGCTCCTATAGACCCCTAGGTCTTTCCATTAAGTCTCAGTGTCTCAGAAGCCCTTATGTCTACAAAGGCAGAAACTGCAGTGCTTTGGTAGCTGGAGGAAGATTCCATTGTATGTATATGTGCTTGCATCCATGTGTGTGAGTTCCCAGCTGTGTTTTGGAGTCTGTACATAGAGAGGGAGGGTAATATAAAAGGGAATGTACAAGTTTAGAAAATATAAATGCAGGCCAGTTCTTGTGCTGTTGTTGACTGTTTAGCTGCTTAGAGCATTGTGGTTTATTCTGAAAAAAATGAAAAAAGTATGCTTTGGAAACTTAGACAAGGTCCTGGTGTAAGACAGTAAAGGTTCTATCTGGGCTGGAGTGTTTTTTTTTTTTTTTTAATAGATTGCACTTGGCAGGAGGAGGAGAGTTACCGTAGTTGGTAGCAGAGAGACACATTGTTTCCTTCCCCGTCCCAACCAAGGTGAACATATGTCCTCTAATTTCCTATGGCCTGTGTCAGGAAGAGTATTTATGGCTAATTTAAAAGCATACAGAAAGTTAAATGCAGGGACCAGTTTTTTTCCCTTGAGTTTGCATAGGAAAATAATTAAAGGCAAACACTGTATATTGTAAGGAATATATTGGTCTGGCATATGGCATTCTTTTGTTGCAGATTACAGACCCAGTGGCCTGATCCTGCTATCACTGAAATGAATGGCACATTTCCTATTGATTTCAGGGAAAGAAAGAGCAGACTACAACCCAACATGAGACAGGTGAAAGCTGCTCCTTTAGAAGTATGCCACCCATTATATTTAGACTCCCAAATTACTTTTTCTTAGTGTCCTGGGAAGCAGATGGACACAAATTGTTCATATTAAAAGTGTAATGAGGATTGTTTAAAGATGTAAATGTTGTCTTTAACATTGCTGAACCAAAAACATAGAAGATTCTGCCAGTGCATGAAAGTGAAACTAGCTGAGAACAAAAGTGAAACCAACAGGCAACTCTCCCTTCCCAAGCTGAGTAAAATGCAGAAATCCTAAAGTGCTGATGCTTAACAGTAAATTTGAATTTTAAAATTTCCTTTGCTTTTATTAGTGTGAAAAAGTGTTGCTAGTGATCTAGAAGAAGATTTCCTCTAAGATAGGTGTTTTCTCATGATGGTATCTCTTTAAAAAGTCAGAACCAATTAAAAATGTCAATTTTTTCTTTATGATATTTAGGGGCTTCTGTACACATTACCCCCTTTTTCTTACACATTTTCCTTTTGCATGCACTGCATCACAGACTTTTAAGTCATGTACCCTTAATATTATGACAGAAGCATGTGCTAGAGCAGGACAGAATTGACCTTGCTTACAAAAGTACTGGTAACTGTAATCAGCAAGTTTCTAGAGAAGGGAAAGAAAAAGTACCTTTAAAAATATATTAAAATGATGGTCAAAAGCATTTAATTGATAAAACACCAAAATATAGCAGTGTAGCAATGGGGAGAGACAGTCATTCAGTTCTTCCTGCCCAATCTAGTAGGATCAGAAGTGACAAATGTACAGGAAAGTGGGGAAATACCAAACAAAACAACAGCAGAGGGTAAAAAAAAACATTGGATGCCATGGAAAAAAAGAGAATGGAGGAAATAAGTGGTTTAGATAAGTTAACTTTGAGCAAAATTCTTCTTTGGTTCACATTTGTCAGTGTCTAGGAAATTATGTGTAAAACTACATGTGTGGCAACAGTCTGCTGTAGATCTGAGCAGTATGAGGAAGATAAATATATGGAAGGAAAAGGGTACAAGATGATGTATTTTTTTAAGGCAGTTTAGTCATGAATACTACACCCTACAGTGCTGAGGCTTTCTGACCATGATTTATGTTGATAAGGATTAGTAAATGACAAACTGAAGCAAGATGTTTTGTTTTTTTGTTTGGTTTTTTTTTAATTTAACTACCTGAATTTGTATTCATTATCTTAAACATTTTTCCCTCTCACATTTGTTTGGAAAAGTTTGAAGGGAAAAGGGGGGGGGGGGTGGAATGGTCTATAGACAGTGATTTTAGCTGGTATCTACCACGCAGGTGGAGGGAGGAGATAGAAGTCTCAAAACTACAGGCCTATGTAAATTCTGCAGCATCAGAAGTAAGTACAAAATGATACAAATCACAGAAAAATGGGTAAAGCAAAGACCATATTTATTTTGGAAGGTATTCAACTTTTAAAGCAGAGGAGGGAAAAGTTGCTGTGGGAAGAAATATTTCAGGACTTTGTCCCTCATGTAAATGGCTTTTAAAAATTTCAGTGTATGTAAAAAAAAAAAAAATATATATATATATCTATATATATTTAAATATAAGATCATAGCACCTGCAGGTTAAATGTTGCTAATGGGATAGAGCATGCAGTGATATAGAGGCCTCTAAGAAATTAAAAGCAGGCCTGGGGAATCTGGTACTTCAACTGACAATGTATGGAACTAATTTTTGACATGTGTACCTGACTTACCCAAGCCAATTTTGAGAACTCAGAGTAGAATGTAATAAGAGTTTTTAAAATGCTTTTCAGACAAAAAGATATAAAGCTTTTTGAGGGACAGATAATTTGAATGTACAGAAATGTGCTTAGGTATACAATAATTTTAATCTATTTCCTCTTATGTTACAGAGAGCGTGGCACAGCCACTGTTCTGGGACAGAAGGACGGACATCTAAGGGACATGGGCATTTCTTCTCAGGTAACCTGCTCTTACTGATGGCTTGAGAGAGAGAGAAAAAATAACTTTTCTGTTCAGATTAAATAATACCTGACCTTTTGGCCTTTTAGATTTTGGTGTTTATTGACATTTCAGACAAACATAGATACTTTTGTTTTATTTTGAGAGAGGTGAGGAGGCAAAGTGTTGTGAGGGAGGGAAGTTAATACCAAGTCCTTCTGAGGTCCGATCGGTTGCAGGAGAACAGCAGTGCTGACAGTGATATTCTGGATTTTCCCATTAAAAGATGCAAATGATAGGATATTACAGAAAGATCAATGTATTTGTGAACTGTGCTGTGTGTTTCAGTTTGCTTCATATTAGAACAGCTAATAAATTGGAAGTAGATGCTACAATCTCTGGTTGGTCAAAGAGAGGGCTAGAAAAAATAGTTCTTTCTAATTGTATGTGGTTTTATTGTGTTGACAAATATATTTGATGTGGTAGCAATTAAAAGTAGTCTGTTCTGATTAAGTTGAAGGGCCGAGACTTGGTTTTAAAGCATGCTGGTTAATTAAGCAAGAGTCAGTAAATGGCATAAAGCTCTAGACAGGATGCTTTTTGAGAAAAATGCAGTTGCTTGAGGTCAAATTAGTGAATAAGTAAAATTTTCTGATCAGGAAAGAGTCTGTGTTTCTGAGGTATTTTATACTTTGTGCAAGCTTTTTATACACCAATACATAGAGGAGCTGTGTTAAAGTGTTGAAGTTGCTATTGTGTTACGGTACGGTTGTTCTTCTTGGTTTGAATTGTTGATTCAACTCTGATAATTAAGACAAGAGAAAAATATAAATTCCATTTACCAAATAGGATGTTTGTAGCATTGAAAAAAGTGAGAGATTAAAGATGATTAGAGGACTCTAAAATCTATAATGTTGTTCTGTAGTCTTTGAAAAGGCAGAAATCTAAATAATAATATTTTTACAGGCAAGATAATATACATTATCTGAAATAAAGTATTAACTGCTGTTAGAAGAGTTTTGAAATAAATAGTATGTGTAGATAGGTAGTTAGGATTTTAAGTATTTTTCTTCCCCTATTCTTTCTCCTCAAGGAAAATAGAAGGATTTCTTTCAAATGTAAAAGGAATAAATAAATACAATTGGAATGAAACATTATGCTAGATATTTGGAGAAATTTGTTTTCTTATATGTATTTTGGTTTTAAATCTAATTGTCGTGAAATAGTTCAGATCTCAAAGTTTGTGGGGAGGAAATGTTTCAGCATCTTTGTTCATACCTGAGGAATCCATTTTAGAAGTCTATTTTCCCTGTTTGCAAAATACATTTTTATTAGATCTATGTATTTGGGTTAAGACTTACTTAAAATTACTTAATTAGGTTATACTTAAATTCTAAGTGATTTAAAAAGAAGGATTATGGTAATATGACAAAACATAACACTATTTTCATTGAAATTCTTAAATAAAGCCCTTTTAACATGCCAATTTTAAAAATCTATAAATTTAGGGTGTTAAAATAGTACAAAATATGAAAAGGCTGAACTTATAATGGAATGTATAATCCTGTACCAGTGAGGAGGGATTCTGTAGGTACGTCTGGAACATGGCAGGAGGTCATTTACACCTTCAGTTTGGTTTTGAGCGTTTTTCTTGTGGTATTGTTGTTCTTCTTATTTTATTATGTCTATGTAAACACTTATGAAATGTTTGTGGTTGATTTGTGAGGAAAAAATATAGAGAAACAGGTAACAGTGTAGGTGCGCTTAGCTAGATGGGGACTGATTGTGTTTTCCCAGGAAATTCTGGAAAATATATCAAAGTAAAATTTTCCACAGTAAAGAATAAATTCTAAATAATTGTATTCGTGCTGTTTGAAATAGCATGGCTGTGAATTGTCTTTAAAAACCTCCTGTAAGTGTCCAAAAAGAGTGCAACATAAAAAGGTTTTCCAATTGTGTTTTCTCTAGATAAATCTATGGGTTGTAGGCTGATTTCAGGGGCAGGGTAGTAAAAAATGAACTTTAAAAAAAGGAGCTACGTGTGGGCTTTTCTCATAGATAAATCTGTTGGGGTTTTTTTTCTAAAAAGGGAAACGTATATGTGTTTCTTTCCTCTGTGTTGTTTATAGTTTGAAATAAATAATACATTTGTAGTGATTTAATTTTTTTAAAAGACGTATTTGTATGAAAAAAATCTGGCAATAGGTTTGTTTTACTTGTAATTTAATATTGGAGAAATAGGAGAATGTTTCTGGATATTTGCATTTGTTTCAGAGGCTGGAGCCTAAGGTAGATTTCTGTGAAGCCTGTCAGGCAGTTACACGTCTGAGCATGTTACAGTCTGCAGCATTACAAATTAGAACTATTTGACTTTTATTTGCTGCATGAGGCTTTCATAAAAAAAAATTGCAAATAAAATAGAAGAATAGAGGATGAGGTCTGTGTGTGTGCAGGGGCTGTTTTGGGGTGCGATGCCGTGCTGTGGAGGAGGGCTGGGTGAGACCCAGAGGGTTTTATTCCGAGGTGCTGCTTTTGCCTGGACTTGTGCTATCTGCCCCTGTCCCTCACTGACTTTATAAATTGAGTCTGACTCCCCGGGATATTTTTTAGTTCCCAGCAGGGCAGTTGCGGGCACATTGTTTGCTACTTATTTAAAGAGAGGAGCTGTAAAAGTGCTGTATGTATTAGTCACACGTATACTGAGCACCTGTATGAAGAGTGTATGGGAAGGAGTGCAGAACATGAGTGACTGATTTTCACATTCCTTTCACTACAGGATAGCCCAGCATTTCCTAGTAACTTTGTCACGAAGTTTTCTGGGGGCTGTAAAGCTATTTTGGAGTTAATTTGCTTATTACAATTTGCCTCCTCAAACATAAATAAAGAATTTTTTTAAAGCCCCACCAGCTAGAAAAAGGCATTTCACATGTTTTTTACTATCTCTCAGGGAGCGTGCAGTTAATGTCAGTAACAAACAGCTGTGGCCGGGACCAGAAAGCACACTGCGGGAGTACTGAAACCCGCCACAATGGCAGCGGCCCGGGGCCCGCCGCTGGGCCGGGCCGGGCCGAGCCCCTCGGAGCGAGCTCCGCCGGGGAGCCGGGGCGGGGTGCATCTTCCTCGGGGGCCGCAGAGGCACCGGGCCGGGGTCCCGGGCGGGACCCGCCGGGCAACGGCGAGAAGGGCCCGGGCGGGCCGGCGGAGGCACCCCGGCGCCGCAGAGGGTTAACGGCGGCGGGCCGCGGGGGCCGGCGGGAGCTGTAGGCGCCGCGGCATGCCGGGAAGCGCCACCGGCGCCCGGGATTCGCTGACAGCGGCTGTGACAGCGCCCGCCCGCTCTGGCACTGGGGGGCCGGAGCTGTCCCGTCGGGCGGGAGCTCCGGGCCGGCCCGTCCGCGCTCAGCGGCCGCGCTGAGCCGGCCCGTGCCCGGTCGGGGGTCTCTGCGAGCGCCGGCGTTATCCCCGCGCCCTGAACAGCGGCCTCGGGCCGCGGCCCGGCCGGGGGCGCGCCTCGAGCGCCGGCAGGTCGGTGGCCGTTTTGTCCCGGAGCCGGTGGTGCTGGGGTGCCCGGCCCGTCCTGGCCAGCTCCGGTATCGGCGGAGCCGAGGCCTCCCGGTGCCCCTCGCTGCCGGCCGTTCCGCGCCCGGTCCGGGCCATGGGGCATCAGCCCGGTCCGGCAGGGCTCGGCCGGAGCCGCATCCTCCCGAGAGGGATTTGCTCTGGTTAAAGCATACGGGCGGCTCGCCCGCGCTGCCTCTGGGGCTCCTGCCGTCCCGCCGCGCCTGTGGCTGCCCGGGGCCCCGGAGAGACACGGGCTCACGGGCTCACTGCGGCTGCGGACCTTGGCTTCCAGTTCGCGCTGAGCTCCGCACCGAAGCCCAGAGCACAGAGATGCCAAAGGCTGGCACGTGGCAAGAGGGGATCGAGTGCTATTATCTGCAAGTTGGGGTTTTTTTCTTTGAGTTTTTTAAATGTGAAGTGGAAGAATGAAGGTGCTGAAGTGCGTTGAAGTTATGGGACAAACCCAGGAACCAAACAGGACTTGGTATTTTACCGGATAGAGAGGTATTTTCTCTCCGGACAAAGCGGTGAGGGAATAAAAAGGAGGCAATTAACGCTACGTGTTAATTCAATGTAATTTATACCGATAGTGTGAAGTCCGTTTTTGTTCAACCTGATGTTTTAAAGTGACTTGTTAATTAACTAAGGATAAGTTACTCTATGTATCAAAGGAATGACAAATAATAAATCAGTCTAAGTGAGTTTAGTAAATTTTGTTTGTGTATTTTTGTTTTCCTCCTTACGTTTTTGAAGCAGATCTTTGGGTTCGCAGTCAGTTGAACTTGGGGCTGAACATACTTAAATTTCTCCTGGGAATGGAAATATTTTTGTGAAGTTATTTTCCTTGCTAATAGTAATCCTCCTGAGA